CCTCATGGACTTTACTCTAAAAGTTTCCTGTTTTTCCACGGTGACTTTGTCTATGGTCTTCACATACTTCAGAAAATAGTCTTCATGTTATCATATAAAATGTGAGTAGATCTCTACCCTCTTATGAAAAGGGACCTTCATCAAATGCAGGCTGGTCTTTCACTGGCTGAACAGTGTTCAGGTAGATCTGAGTGGATGTTAGGTAAATATAACGAACTAATATCTACACGATCCAAACACTAGAAGCTACTAGCAACAAATATTTGTCTGACACATAAACCTGAAATGTGGTTCTGGGAGTGTATTTGCAAAAGGGAAATGAAGAATACTATCATAAAGCAATATATAACATTGCTGGTAATGTGGGGTGAGAATATGATTGGGTGGCAGAGAAATTTTAAACACTAGGACTCACACTTCTTGACTATGCTTCTTGTTTGGTGTTTTCTTTGTGAACACAATGAAGAGGGTGTAATGCTGATGTCCCCAAGTATTTTAGGTGACTTGTAAGTCTCCAAGTATGAAAGAGATGAATTTGATCATAGAAACAAATTTTTGTATCTTTTCATGAATGTATAAATGCAGGCAGGAGGGTCAGGTGGTTTACTTTTCCTGCCTCACTAAAGACCTAAATACAGAGCTCAGGAAATGGCTAAATGCACTGTCCTTTAGCATTATGACCTGGGGACTATCCCTGGAATAAACAAGGTAGAAGAGGAGAGAAGACTTTTGTAGTTTGTCATCTAGCCTACACATATACTCCACCAACACACACAAAATAAATCATACTGGCTCAGTCTGCTGCTCACAGAATTTTAATCTGTGAGCAGCAGACTCACACATATGGGAATCCCTTTATTATGTCTACACCATAGATTAAAGAGACTTAAGTTCCAATGAGATCCTAAAATTTGTTGCCAAATCTGTTCCTGAGATACTTTTATACCTGGTCATTTAGTGGTCAGGGAATCAGCTTCTTAATAAATTATGAGGCATTTATAAGTGAATGCTCAGTGGACTCATTCAAGCATGGTCCACTTGGTCCCTGATCAGAAACTCTCCAAATTCCATTTTTAACACACAAAGATTTTCTCCTGTGTATTGCAAAGGTGCATTTTAAAGGTTCTTATCCTAAAGTGATCTTGTAGTAAAAGAAACTTCTTGAGCCCTAGTAATTTGATGTCCCCAACTAAGTGTGCTATGTGTATTATTCAGTATATCTATTATACAAAATCATTACAAACAGAAGCACATCAAACTTCAGGCTTCTACAAATGACCAAATGAGTCACAGGATATAAGTATTTGGATAGAACTTGTCTGTCATGTCTCAGACTACAAGTTTCATCACTCACATTCACACACACACACACACACACACACACACACACACTAAAAAAAAAAAACAAAAAAACTATTATGTTAAGGAGAAGTCTCATCATGGACAATATTGGCTTCATAAGCATGAAAATCCAAGTTTTAAGCCTCACACCTAAAAGCTGAGTGAATGTGGCATTCTGTCTGTATTCCCATTGATTATGAAGCATGAGATTCTTAGATTCTAGTTTTAGGGTGAGCTCTGAGTTCAAAGGAAGAGCCTGCTTCTAAGTATTAAAAAGAGAACCAACAATAAAGACATTCTCAACACTATCCACAGGACTCTTTACATAATAGTGCCCCTGTACACATATGGGAATGTAAGGGCAATTGGAATACATGTAGTTGTACACATTAATATCAGTAAGCATGAACACATATGCAACATATAATTTTTAAAAAGTAATTCTTAAAATACCAAGGAAAAGTATGTTCAAGAATTTTCTATTGTCCTCAAGCAGCATCCCAGCATCCTTATGAAGCTGACACTTCATATTGATGGGCTTCCATACTGGGATTATGGGGAAAGCTAAAATGACCCATTAAAACTCCTCTCTCTCTCTCTCTCTCTCTCTCTCTCTCTCTCTCTCTCTCTCTCATTTGTATTCATACCTGTGCCTGCATGCATACTTATATTTGTATGTTGAAGCCAGAGGTCAGCATTATATATTTATTCCTTAGTCCATATATCTTATTTTTTGAGTAAGTTTTTTCTTTGTTTTTTTGTTTGTTTCTTTGTTTTTTTAACTAAACTTGGAACTCATCAATTTGGCTCAACCTGTTATTCAGAAAGCCCAAGAAGTCTCCTATCTCTGACTCCCCAGAACAAGTGTTGTAAGTATGCACCACCCTGTCCTCATTTTCTTTCCTTTTCCTTGCTTAGCATATCTTAGCTTACTTTTGCTTTCTTTTCTTATATGTACATATTAGGGAATGGGACTAAGATTCTCATGGCTACGTGGCAAACACTCTTCTCACTATGCCATCTCTAGTACTCAAAACATTGTATTTAACCACTTAATGTTTTGATGAAAGAGTCAATATTTGATAAAAAGGAGTCTTTACATATTTCTGTAAAATGCTTGTAAAACATTAGTTTGACAGAGTCTCCAAGACCATTTCTGAGTACTTAGTGATTTTTTACTTTATATTTAACCCTGTGTAAATTAAACATTGAGCTTTAATAATATTTTTCCAGTGTAGTTCTGACAATGTTCATGTTTCAAATGAGAAAAGGTTAACATAAAAGGAGTGGGAGGTTCAGAATATGACAAAGGAGCTGCATCTTGTAGCTCTAATAATCTTGGTGATTCCACAGTTCTCTTTCTAAACACTATAAAATTAGTGCAAAAAGTAGAGGCTTAGTTCTCCTTAGATGTAAAAGAGTCGGGTCCCTGGCATGAAGAGAATAATAAAACATTTGAAATTCAAGTAAACCAACACCTGAAGAAGGGTTTAGAGCCTTGTGTCAGCTCTTCTCAAACACAGAGAGGCCTTCTTGAAATAATTCCTGAGGCCCAAGGAGGCTGAGAGAAGGGCATGTTAATCTGAAGAAAATGAAACTATTTTTTAAAATATGGAAACGAAATAACTCAAAACTGCAAGTCTGTCTGAAAATAACTAGTTCTGATGAAAATCTCCAGAGAAAATAAATAATCCCACATCCATTTTCACCTCTAAAGTCAATAGAAAAGTTTAAAGATGTTTTCCAGGAAGAAGAACTGCTTATTTGTTACTCCATACTGAACAGCAAAGCAAGCACAAATCTGTAAAATTTGATGTGGTCTTCAATATTGAAAAAAAATTAAAGTGCCTTCAAAGAGTATTTCAAAATGAAAGACCATATCAGGTAAGAATATTGTAGCTGACATCATTATTGACACAAAAAAAGATGACAACACTGGCAGACAATATTCCATGTTTGCTAAATAACTGGAATGCTTATTATAATCCTAGTCTCAAGTAGAAGTCTTCTGCAAATATTAATACACCTAAACCACATTCTTTTCAACAAAGTTAGGCTAGTTCTGAATGATGTAGTAATTGAAGTCAAAGGTATAGCTAAAGAAGTTCTGAGGGAAAAGACAATGTTATCCATCACCACATGTTCATAGTTTACATTCTTTTAGATAGAATTTTTGATATTTTTTCCTCTTAAAGTATAAGCAACATTTGTATACATGTTATTTTATCCAAAGCCTTAACATTTTTAAAATTTATATGTGTATGTTCACCTTTTTATGAATGTTCACTCAGGTGTGCTCTTGAGTGTGGAGTCCTAAGGTTGATTTCAAGATCTTTTTTTATTTATCATTCATTATCTACTTAGGCAGTGTCCATTGTTCTTCTTTCTAGTCTGGCTAATCTGCATGATTTTGGGGACTCTAATGATGCCCTAACATCTACCTGGCTTTTTCGTTTGTTCCAAGGATCTGAAACCCAGTCTTCATCCTTTGATGGTAATCACTGTTGCTGTTGAGCCATCTTCCAAAGTCTAAAACTCTATATTGAGAGACATCTCCAGGTACCATAACCCTGTGCCTCTTGTCCATTTTTGTTTCCTTATGGTTTTCTGCCAACTATTATTTATACAAAGTCAAAAGTGTGGGGCAGCAACAAGGAATAATTTTCTGATTTATAACTTAGTGGAGGTATATTATTCTCAATGTGATAGTTACTCACAATGTCTGGAAAAGCCTAATTTTTCCATTTTTTTCTATATGTGAATTTTTTAGAACCTTGAATGGTAGCTCTTCAGCAGACTCAAAGAAGAATAGAGATTACTCAGGCATAGTCTCACACTTTGCAATCTTGGAAAAGTAACATAGTTGAGTTATTTGGGCATGTTATGTAAATATATATATATATATATATATATATATATATAGGTATAGGTATAGACATAGATAGATATAGATGATATAGATATATCATCAGCCAATATAATAGTGAGTGTTAATTGTCAATTTGAGAATATCTAAAATCATCAGATAAATTATCCTCTGAACGTGTCTGTAGGGTACATTATTGATGGTACTAATTTAAATAGGAATGCCTGTCCACTGTGAGAGGCATCATTCCCTGATTAGGATTCTGGACTATATAATAGTGCTAAAAGCGAACTGAGAGTTAGCATAAGATTCACTGTGCCTTCTGATTATGATGGCCATGTGCCCAGTTATCTCAAGCTCTCACTGTTTTAGGTCTCTTCTGCAACAGATGGTAACCAGGAACCATAAGCAAAAATGAGCCTTTTCTCACTTATCTTACTTTTGTTGACATAATTTTACCACAAAACAGTGAACAAAAGAAAGAAAATGATACCATCCTTCTGACAGTCAGATTATTGCCACCATGCTTTCCTGTTTTATCAATTACATAACATATTCCAACATAAAACCACTGAATCTATTACAAGAATAGACTAACCTCTCTATAGTTGATATTCTGATTTCCCTTCAAATAGATCTAGATTTTAAGGAGAGCATAGATATTACCTCATTATTTCTCAATGGGCACAGGACATTGAATGAGACCCCACAGTGCAGTAGGATGGCTGAAACATTCATGCATTAACATACCACATCTCATCTTTATTAACTAGAAAAGGAAAGTGCTTCCTACCCAGATGCTGTCTTCTTGTTTGTAATGTTGCCAGTTGTGCCCACTGTCGCTGAACATCAGGTGATAGCTTGTCACCCAGTCAGAGCTCCCATATCTTCCCTGTGTGGCCACTGCTGTAATCTCCACTCTATTTCCAAGGTCAATCTGTAGCCATGGTTGGGCATCGGAATCTGCTGGCGACCAACCACCAGTTCCTGGAATAGGATGAAAGAGAGACTTGTAATAATCTTGTAGAAAGTCAACATTTCCTATGTCAAAGATCAATAAAACTATGGGCAATTCAGCACAATTCCTGCCTCTGAACTTTAATTCCTTGTATTCTTAAAACCAATTTTCTATGCTGTATCCTAGGGCACCAGGTTCAGGGAAAATGCAGCATTTATGATGCCACTCACTCTCTCTTCATTCTTCCTTCCTTCCTTCCTTCATTCCTTCCTTCCTCCCTCCCCTCCCTCCCTCCCTCCTTCCTTTCTTCCTTCCTTGCTTCCTTCCTTCTCCCATTACTTTCTCTTTCACTTCTACTTTCATTTCTCTGTCCAAATCAGTACTATGAACCTCCTGCGGGACTCATATCTCACTGTGAAGGTGAAACTTAAAGAAGACATTGATGGAGCCTTCCAAGAATATTTATTCATGTAACCTTTATTCCCAATGCAAAGAATGCTGGGTGAAAAGGAAAGAAAAGTCCACAGAAGCATGTCAGTAGCATTTACAAAAGAAAGACAGAAGTTACGATACTGATAAAGGGAAATGAATGTGAGAGCAGGTACTCAGAAATACCTTTCAAAGACAGAGACAGTAATGGTGAACCCGATGCCAGGGTAGCTATACCTTGGAAGGTGGGATGTCTACAGCTCTACAATTGCTCATACATAGGGAGCAGAGAAGAGAATGATATATGCACAACCAGAATATGTGAGGAATCCTGGAACATCTCATGTATAATTCACTGCACTCACAAGAGCTTTGCAACATCTGCTTGGCATCTATTCATAAAATTTGAACTTTGTAGATAGTCAATATTCATTTTCTCATAAAAGTAAGAGTCAAGGTTTTTGTCTCCATCTCAAGGAAGAAAAAAAATAAATCAGTATAAGCTTTTCCTGAATTTCTACTGAATTCTCAAGTCCTCTTGAAATTGGGGTGTTGGGCATTGGAAAGTATCTTATATGGTAGATAGGTGTTTGGTGAAATTTAACCGTATTACTGGCATCTTTGTTCAGTACAGGTAGGAAGAGTACTACTAAGCATAGAGTAATAAATTCATCTCTTTCTTAAACATGAATGCTCATTTCTGTGATGCTCTAGCTTACTTCTCAATCGAATGGAAAACCATTTACTCAGACCTCAGCTTGGTAGCTCAGGGAGTTTCTATATTCTAGTTCCCACAGCATATTCACTCAGACCCAGACTTAGTAGTTCAGGGACATCCTACATACTCCTTCCCTCTGTACAGCACCTCACCATATGGGACCAAATATAGTAAAACTAGACATGGGAGAAGTAAGGCTTACTGATCTTAAAAAATATGTTGTATATGGGGACTATATTTCAACATCAACTATTCTCCAGTATTTTTGTTTAATTTCCTTTTATTTCCACCTTCTAAATAAAATTTGAATCATGGATGGAGAAAGGCCCATGATTGTCTTCTATTCTGCAATGTTTTCTTCTTAGTGGTAGGTATGCCAAAACAACGTAGGTACTGTGATACGCTGATCTTTTCAATACTTTTTGTATGGAGCAATGTACTTGTGTATATATGTGATTTATGTATGTGGGATGGAGTAAATGATTTTTTTAGCTATCTATAGTATTACAGCTATGATCACAAGACCATATCCTCAAGAATAAAAGCTGTAAGTAGATTTCCAATTGCCCTTTTCCCTCCTGTTTTCCTTTTTACATGATAGAGACAGTAAACAAAGTCGAGACAGTGCTGAACCGATTTCTGGGAAAGATGCTAGGTGTCAGTACCGTAATGTGGATGAAAGCTACCATGCTCTAGTAAAGCTGAACCAATCCACAGTAGAGATAAGAATCAATATTTATTGTGATCCAGTTATTGGGTACTGGAATTTACTGTCTTCAGTCCGCTTTTACTCCCTGCACAGTGTCCTGTGAAAGAAAAAATGTAGGACTGTGAAGGACAGCCTGGTTTCTTGCAGAGCACAGGCTAGAAATCTCCAGAGACCCTAGGTGATCCTAAGGTATGCATGCATTTCACCATATTCCAAGACTCTAGGCTCCTCACAGGAGGCCGCAGACCTCCATATATCTGTGCCTTTCAGTCACATTGTACAATGCTCACTAGCCCCTTCACTGGTAGAGGGTATGACTACAGGCCACAGAGCCTCAAGGCAGATCTCCGTATTAATGAGATACCGAAAGGCCAGAGCATCATAGCAGTTAAACATTCCTTCCCAGACTCTCCTCCATGCAAAAGGCATATGACATCAGGCCAGCTCTGAGAAAGTGGGATATAGTTTTTATCTTTCTGTCATGACAATAAATGTCTTAAGATCATGGATTATTTTTCTTCTTTAAGGTCTTCCATGGGGAACATGGAGCAGGCCTTCTTCTATAGAGCTGCTGTCTAATCTCCTGCAAAAGAACTTTCTGCATTTTCAGACACAGAGACCACCAATGCAAGCAAGCTATCAAAACCAGTTGTGACCAAGTCAAGTGAGCCACTGTAACTAAGAACTCCCCTCCCCATGGGACATAGCCAGAGCTTCTCTCTCTCTCCCTTTTGGCTGCTGGCAAATCTAGCCCATATACTCCCACTTTGTTCTCTGCCCCTCAGCGGAGCCTGGGGGCCCAAGGGCCTTAGAATCAGCCAGTTCTCTGCTGCCTTTTGGTCTGGGAACCCCAAAGCCAAGAGCTCTGTCCCTCCCCCTCCACGCCTCTGTCCCCATTATAGACCCTAGCCACATGGCTAGCCAGACGCTGGACTCATACACACACTACAACCCAACAAAATAATGTCTATCTCCTGACATAGTGGAAGAAAGAAATACACAAATTGTAAAACACTGGATTGCCTGAATTCAAACGCAGTTTAGAGAAATCCAGCTCATTGAGATTACTTTCTAACAGGAAAATAGTATGTCTGATCAACAGAAAATCTCAGGATGGGGAGATGACTACTGTGAAAAGGGCTTGCTCCCAAGACTGACCATCTGACTAAAATCTGTAGTAACATTGAAATGTAGGAACTAATTTGACATGAATACTCTAATTCAAACACACATACACACACACACAAACACACATATATACACACACAAACACACATACCCACACACACACACACACACACACACAATCACAGATGAAGTGCTGGTGGTATGAGAAAAGACCTGGAGATATGAAACAGGAAGGATTCAGAGAGGTGGATGGTTATAGTAGGGTAAAGGAGTTAGTTTAGAGAACCATAACAGCATTTTGAAATGCCACATCAAAAGTTATAACTGATGGAGCTTCCTACAATATATATGTAGACGTATACAAAAAGAGTTTAACTGCAGTTAGCCTATAATGTGAGGCAATGTCTCCCCACATACTATATACTTAAATAAGAACACCACTGCTAGGTATTGATTACGTATATGTTTACTGTTAATAAGTTTTGTCACTGGGATTTCCTATTCTCTTAAAAAATTACAAGCTATTGTCGTTGTTCTTGGTTGTCTTCCAGATCTCGAAGGCAAGGCTGCTGAGGTTTGGTCATTTGCTTACATTTTAATGTTAAATATTGGTCCCCAAGGTCTAGTTGCTCACAGCTATGAGAGAGTCTGTATGAACCCACGTGATATACACCAGTAACACTATGCAACCTTGCCATCTAAGTTATCTTTGATTTTGTGAATAAAGATATTTATAGCCCATAATTCAAAATAAGAGAGGTAGGTGAGTTTCTTGAGTTTCTGGGCTTTGGGTCTGAGGACATCGAAAAGGAGAAGAAAAGGGAGAGAGAAAGAAATCATCACAGGTTAGATAAATCATGAAATCCTAGCCAGGAATTTTAGCCAATTGGAGTTAAGAGATATACAGCTGGAACACTGCAAATTTTAACTTTAAATTTTTATTTGTTGTTACTGATGGAAAAATAGATTCTAATAACATAGAAGGTAGACATCTGCCTAGATCTAGTGCTGATTAAAGTTTATTATAATAATAAAAGTTGTGTGTGTTTGTCTGGGAACTGAATGATCAAAGTTAGAGTAGAAACCCCAATTCGAGATTAAACAATTAGGACAGCACAAGACACTGTTGGTGAAGACATAATATACTTGAGTCATAAGATATGGAAAAATCAAGCTTTTATTGATCTTGAACTTCATTCTAGAATCCACAATACTGGGAGTGATATACAGACTACCAGAGAGGTGGGTGAAGCAGGCATCAGTCTTAACTATTTCTGAATTATGTAATCTACAGTTGTGATTGCCTTGGCAATACATATCTACTGGTATACTAATGGCATGTATGTCATCGGAGTAAACAACCACTTTCTGATTGGACTTACGTCATGTTCTGCAAGGCCTAACAAAGTCTGGCTCAAAATCCATTGTCAGGCTTTAAATCCTGCTAAGCAGGGTATAACTCATTCCTTCTACTGTTAACTGAGCCAAGGACACATGGCTGGCTTTGCTCTAGGTTCTAGATCCTAGGGAAGAACCTAATACTTCTATTCTGTTTATCTTTGTGCCCATAAATAAGGAATCCTCATCAGAGAAGTAGGAATCCTCATCAGAGAAGGATTTTTTCCCCCAGTGGATAAAGATTAATATTAAGACTCACAACTTTTCAACATACGCAGAACAGAGAATATGGAGTGATCAGCTTTAAATGGGACAGCTTTTATAAGATTCCCTCTTCCCATGACTCTTTTATCATGTTGCAAGATGGTACAAAAAGGACTCAAAGAGCTAGAAATAGTGATTGTGGTGAAATGATATTTGCCAGACAAGACTATTCACTTATGAACTCAATGTTTCTATGGTTCTTTGCATAAGAGAAGTTCAAGACAGATAAAATGTCAGCAGAGACAGGGATTGAGCATCGTTTAATTCTACCTCTAGCTGATGAGCAACTATTGGCTTCCATGAGAGGGAATATAGAATCATTTTAAGGATGATCACTGAGAATCTATACATGAGAAGTAGATGGTATTATGCTTTGTTTACAC